CAACTTCACCGTCTGGCTCCGTGTGCATACACATACCCCTATAGACCCATATACACAAAAACAAACCCATACACACATGTGCACAGACACATAGGATGGAAAAAAAGTTAAAAATATAAACAAAAAGAAGGGGAAGGAAAAGTCTAGAAGTCAGAATTGCCTTTCATTCATGCTGCAGCTATTAACCTTTCTTTTCAGGCACACTTCAAGGCATAGGGCACCCAACACTGAGCACATTAGGTGACCAGTTCACCTATAGGGAGCTTATATTGTGGTGGGGAAGTGGATAATGAAGATTAGAGGTCTGTATGGTATGTTTGAGAAGTACAAGGAACAACAACCAAGGCAGAGAGAGGAATGGGAAGTGTTTGGGAGAAGAAGGAGTAGAAATCTTGACTCATATGAGTAGAGACAGTCTCTCTACTGAGAGAGTGACTTTCGTAGCTAATAAAAGACCGAGGAAGGGGACCCTGTACAACTTCTTGTAGAGAGAAACAGCAGCTATGACAGAAGGACCTGAGCTGAGCAGGCCTCAGGCATATGGATGAGGGTGTGGAGGCTGGAATGGTTGCTCCAGCCAAGACCGGGAGAAAATGGAAGGAGATCAGGGCATGGAGCTGATGGCCTCTGGATGTTGCTAGGACTCAGGAGTTTTCATAACTGCCTTGAATTCACCTCATGAAATGACAGCCAATAGAGAGTTTTGAGTACAGGGATGAAATGATCTGGCTCCTGATATACTTGATCTGGCTGATTTCATTAATAGTTGGGGAACAAAGGCAGAAAATGGCAATCTAGGCAGGAAGCTGGTGCCACAGTGAGAATGATTGTAGCATGGACCAGGGCGGTGACATTGAAGGTGGTCAGGAAACAGTGGGATTCTAGATACAGTGTGATTGTAAATCTATGAGGATTTGCTGACAGAATGGACTTGGGTATGGAAGAAAGAGAAGGGTTGAAGCTGACAGCAAAGTCTTGGGGCTGAGGTATGGAAGAATGGGATTGCTGTTCAGCAGGAGTGAGGAATGCAAGAAGAGCTGGCAGCTTATGGGGTGGGATGGAGGGAGACACTATTAGAAAGGCTCATTTTGGATGTGTGCAATGGAATGCATGTTAGAAATCCAGATGAAGGTGTTGCAGGTCTGGAGTTTTGGGAAAGGTTCTGGCTGAAGATATGTATTTGTGAGTCATCAGTGAGTAGGTGAATCTTAAAAGCATGAGACAAGACCACCCAAGACGTGTGTTCCAATAGGAAAGATTCATCTGAGGACTGAATTATAGGAATACAATAATCTCAGTGAAAGTGTGAAAGAGCCAGCCAGACACTGTTGGCTATTTAGCAGACTGGATATTCTGCATGTTTTGGGAGCTGCATCGTTTTTGCAGTTGAGCCCTAAAAGCTCTTATAACTTTCCTGGACAGTGTGATGGTCTATTGATCCAGATTTCATTGCTACAAAATCCATTTCTTCCACTCACAGTATTTATTACAAATGAATTATGAGTAAAGTGGCTATTGAGTTTATTCCCAATGAACTGCTCTTACCTTCTTCGGAACATCTAACATGTGATTTAGAAATGACTACTGAAGTTTCCAAGGAAGTGGCCTGAGTAGAGTAAGCTGTGCTGAGCTCTGAAGGGTGCTTCTCGGTCGGACGTCTGAGAGCCTTAAGTACAGTAACCATAGGGGATTGTAGTTAGCATGCCTGGCTACCTGTAGTCAAGAGTCTAGAGAAGAGAACGGGTGGACAGTCAGATTCCTTTATGCTTTGCATTCTGTGTCCATAAAGAAGGACTATTCTGGGAAGAGTTTGAGGCCTTTATTTTGCCTGTGTGTGGGCCACCCAGCCATACCCCAGTCGGCTTTGTGTGTTTGGGAACCGTTCATTAACTTCCTAGGTGATAAGAATTTTTGACTACTTGATTGTCGTAGACCTTTTTGTGGGGCTGCTTTTTCACGTCTGTATGTTAAAAAGGTACTTCTTTTTTCTTTTTGCTGTGTTAGTGTACAAAATAACGGGGTTTCATTATCTTTCCATCCATCTATGTCATTGTACTTTGCTCCCATTGAGCCCCCTACCTTCCGCCATCTTCCCTCCCTCCTTGGTGGTTGGTCTCTTCCCATGCCCAAACAATCTCCCTTTGTGCGTTCATGTCACTGTCTCACATATACATGTATGTATCTGTGTCTATGAAATCTATATTGTGCATACGACAGAAGGAAATGCAGTAGTTTGTCTTCCGTTATATTCCCTTAGTCCCTCTCTCCCTCCATTTAGACCACATCTTCTTTATATTTGCATTGTATTTTTATATACATATGCCCATGTGTATAAAATTTAAGTCAAGATCACATTTATGAGATATAAGAGAAAACGTGGTATTTGTATTCAGAGTCTTATTTATTTCATTTAGCAAGATGTTCTTTAGTTCTATACAGCTTTCTTATAAATGACATTATAATATAATTTTTAATATGGTTTATGTGTGCCGAGTGGTAGAAGCTTTGGAAAATTCCATACTGCTTAAAGTAACCATGCTGTTAATATCTAAGAATATGTACTCTGCTTTGACCTGTTAACGTATTTATTTTGATTCCCACAATCTTGATCCCACCTTTTTGGCTTTTTAACCTGAGAGCCGCCTTTTCACGTGGGTGGTGATGGAAGGTGATGGAGGGTAATAGATGGCTAGAGATCAGTTTTCATCTCATGTATTTTCCCCAGTTAAGAAACTCTTTAAGTAGAAATCGAAAGAAAAATGTTAACAGAGCCTTCTTACTAATTGGGGATATTGGGCCATGCCTGCCACTTCCTGTCTTAGCAATAATCTATGGCAGAAACAATTAAGCTCACTGGTACTTTTGACTTGAAGGGTAAGACATGTACAGTGGGTAAAAAGTGTTTATTGGAAGTTAGTGCCTTTTGTGTGGTTTTGTCAAGTTCTTTTTTTTTTTTTTTTTTTTTTTTTTTTTTTTTTTTTTTTTTTTTTTTTTTTTTTTTTTTTTTTTTTT